TATAAATATTTTTTTTGTGCAAATCTTGAGCTTGAATAATTCCAGAGGGAATTGGTTAACAGAAACGACAGTGTGCTTGTTCTCGTAGGAGCGGTGCCATTTTAATTATTGTTGCACGCCCAGTAGTCCTATAAATAAATAAAAGCTGATGATGTCACTGACTAAACAGCGAGTTTACAAAGAAAAAAAAAAGAAAGAGCATGACGTTCCTTAAAATCTATCCGTCCCCCCCAAACCCCCTGTTTGTTGGTCCTCGAACTTTCGGGGGTGGGCTATCTGGCCCCCGCACTCAAATGAGTTTGAGACCACTGCTCTAATCACTGCGACGTTGTCTGTGTGGAAGGCGCGTTTGTGTTTTACCGCTGCCCTTGTCAGCAGGCGAAAGTTCAACACACCCAATTTCGTCAGCTTGCATTTAATTTCTTTCGTAATTAATCCAGGTGAACGAAATTTGGTAGAAATGTGTGGAAGATAAACATAAACATATAGTACATTTCTTTCAAATTGGATAAGCGGTTCAGTAGTTCACTCTTTTAGGGTAGTTTCCCCGCCTCACGACCACGCGAAGACAAACCAACGGATTGCGAGGAACAAAAGAAAAACAAAGAAAGCAACCTGTAAGCGTGATGACCTGTGAGTGTGAGGACCTGTGAGTAAGATGAGCGTGAAGACATGTGTGAGTGTGAGGACCGTGAGGACCTGTGAGTGTGAGGACCTGTGAGTGCGAGGACCGTGATGACCTGTGAGTGTGAGGACCGTGAGGACCTGTGTGAGTGTGAGGACCGTGATGACCTGTAAGTGTGAGGACCGTGAGGAGCTTTGGGTGTGAGGACCTGTGAGTGCGAGGACCGTGATGACCTGTGAGTGTGAGGGCCTGTGTGAATGTGAGGACCGTGAGGACCTGTGAGTGTGAGGACCGTGAAGAGCTGCGAGTGTGAGGACCTGTGAGTGCGAGGACCGTGATGACCTTTGAGCGTGACGACCGTGAGGAGCTTCGAGTGCGAGGAACGTGATGACCTGTGAGTGCGAGGACCGTGAGGACCTGTGTGAGTGTGAGGACCGTGAGGACCTGTGAGTGTGAGGACCGTGAGGAGCTTTGAGTGTGAGGACCTGTGAGTGCAAGGACCGTGATGACCTGTGAGTGTGAGGACCGTGAGGGCCTGTGTGAATGTGAGGACCGTGAGGACCTGTGAGTGTGAGGACCATGATGACCTTTGAGTGTGACGACTGTGAGGAGCTTTGAGTGTGAGGACCTGTGAGTGCGAGGACCGTGATGACCTTTGAGTGTGACGACCGTGAAAAGCTTTGAGTGTGAGGACCTGTGAGTGCGAGGACCGTGATGACCTGTGAGTGTGAGGACCGTGAGGACCTATGTAAGTGCGAGGACCGTGATGACCTGTGAGTGTGAGGACCGTGAGGAGCTTTGGGTGTGAGGACCTGTGAGTGCGAGGACCGTGATGACCTGTGAGTGTGAGGACCATGAGGGCCTGTGTGAATGTGAGGACCTGTGAGTGTGAGGACCGTGAAGAGCTGCGAGTGTGAGGACCTGTGAGTGCAAGGACCGTGAGGCGCTTTGAGTGTGAGGACCATGATGACCTGTGAGTGTGAGGACCATGAGGACCTGTGTGAGTGTGAGGACCTGTGAGTGTGAGGACCGTGAGGCGCTTTGAGTGTGAGGACCTGTGAGTGCGAGGACCGTGATGACCTTTGAGTGTGACGACTGTGAGGAGCTTTGAGTGTGAGGACCATGATGACCTGTGAGTGTGAGGACCATGAGGACCTGTGTGAGTGTGAGGACCTGTGAGTATGAGGACCGTGAGGCGCTTTGAGTGTGACGACCTGTGAGTGTGAGGACCGTGAGGGCCGGTGTGAATGTGAGGACCGTGAGGACCTGTGAGTGTGAGGACCGTGATGACCTTTGAGTGTGACGACCATGAGGAGCTTTGAGTGTCAGGACCTGTGAGTGCGAGGACCGTGATGACCTTTGAGTGTGACGACCGTGAGGAGCTTCGAGTGTGAGGACCTGTGAGTGCGAGGACCGTGATGACCTGTGAGTGTGAGGACCGTGAGGACCTGTGTGAGTGCGAGGACCGTGATGACCTGTGAGTGTGAGGACCGTGAGGAGCTTTGAGTGTGAGGACCTGTGAGTGTGAGGACCGTGAGGAGCTTTGAGTGTGAGGACCTGCGAGTATGAGGACCGTGATGACCTGTGAGTGTGAGGACCATGAGGACCTGTGTGAGTGTGAGGACCGTGATGACCTGTGACTGTGAGGATTGTGAGGAGCTTTGGGTGTGAGGACCTGTGAGTGCGAGGACCGTGATGACCTGTGAGTGTGAGGACCGTGAGGGCCTGTGTGAATGTGAGGACCGCGAGGACTTGTGAGTGTGAGGACCGTGAAGAGCTGCGAGTGTGAGGAACTGTGAGTGCGAGGACCGTGATGACCTTTGAGTGTGACGACCGTGAGGAGCTTTGAGTGTGAGGACCGTGATGACCTGTGAGTGAGAGGACAGTGAGGACCTGTGTGATTGTGAGGACTGTGAGGACCTGTGTGTGTGAGGACCATGAGGAGCTTTGAGTGTGAGGACCTGTGAGTGCGAGGACCGTGGTGACCTGTGAGTGTGAGGACCGTGAGGGCCTGTGTGAATGTGAGGACCGCGAGGACCTGTAAGTGTGAGGACCGTGATGACCTTTGAGTGTGACGACCGTGAGGAGCTTTGAGTGCGAGGACCTGTGAGTGCGAGGACCGTGATGACCTTTGAGTGTGACGACCGTAAGGACCTGTGAGTGCGAGGACCGTGATGACCTGTGAGTGTGAGGACCATGAGGACCTGTGTGAGTACGAGGACCGTGATGACCTGTGAGTGTGAGGACCTGTGAGTGCGAGGACCGTGATGACCTGTGAGTGTGAGGACCGTGAGGACCTGTGTAAGTGTGAGGACCGTGATGACCTGTGAGTGTGAGGAGCTTTGGGTGTGAGGACCTGTGAGTGCGAGGACAGTGATGATCTGCGAGTGTGAGGACCGCGAGGGCCTGTGTGAATGTGAAGACTGTGAGGACCTGTGAGTGTGAGGATTGTGAAGAGCTGCGAGTGTGAGGACCTGCGAGTGCGAGGACCGTGATGACCTTTGAGTGTGACGACCGTGAGGACCTGTGAGTGTGATGACCTCTGAGTCTAATGACCTGCGAGTCTGATGACTCGTGATGACCGTGATGATCTGAGCGTGACGACCGTGATGATGACGGCGAGTGAGTTTTGGTTTTGTGTTAAACCGTGAGGGTTAGTCCTGCTGATGACCCTTTTTTGAATAAATCGTGATCGTGAGTGGGCGTGAGTCCTGATTGAGGAAAAAATGGTGATCGTGAGTTTGAGTGAGGACAGCTTAAAATGCCGACCTATGACCACAGTGCACCCGACTGTGCGGTTTTTTTTCTTTTCTTTTTGCGCGCAGCAGACGAAATGCGTTGCGGGATCCGTTTGCCGTGCGATTCCTCTGCAGTTATATTTTTGTTTGTTTGCTGTTATGTGCTTCAAGATGAGTTGTTTTGTACATTTAAGTGTTGGCAATTAGTAGTGAGTGCCCGTGGTGAATTCCCGTGATCGGCTCCGAAAAGCATACTCCCAAGATGTTCCGTGGAGAGCTGCCTCACATGCCCTGCATCTGAAAGTGGCATTGTGCGGCAGAATGTACAAGTTTCCGAAAGACCAACGGGTCGGGATCAATTGCTGCAATTCCTGTAAAACAGTTACGGGAACCTCGGAAAGTGGACGCTACCCGATTTATATGCTCCTTGCATTTTGTGGAAAGTGACTACATTGAGCTCGCAGGTGTCAAAAATGGAATCCCATACTACATAGTTCAGCGACGTATCGTCCGCAACAATTGTTTTTGTCTTTTTTCAGTGATAATCGTAAAAAAAAAAAATGGCAACATCGCAAAATTTTTGACAAAAAAAAAAAAAGGAAGTGGTACGGCCACAGTAGGGATTGAACCCGCGACCGCTGCGTGAGAAGCGGACGTCTTTCCACTGAGCTACTGATTTTTTTTCGTTATTGCACTGAGCTACTAAAGGAACTCCATTGTTCGTAGTAATGCAGTCGGTCGACCGTAGGTCGCGAAGTTTGCTGCCGATTTCCCTCCAGTACATGCACTCCCGGCTTGAAGTCGGGCAGCACCACGCATTGGCCACATTCGCACCTAGTAAAGAAACCGTACGCATGTGTATTCAACTCGAAGTACGCACTTCATGGTTGACGTTTGAGAGCGATGTCCTCAGCCACGAGAAGGGACGACAGCTCGGCGACGTCTTCGTGCAATCGGCTTGCTGGTCGGACGTGTTGTACGGGATGAATATAAATTATTTTGGTCGGTCCAAAATTTATCTTTCGAAGGAAGACAGAATTCGCCGGTACCGTGAACGACAGTTCTGAAGTAGACGTCCCACGCCCGTCTTCCGCTGATTAAGCCATGTTGAGAATTACGCAGTGAACGCACAGGATGCCTCCGGTTGTCTGTGCAACCTTTTTTTTTCAATCAACGTATTTGCAGCTTCTTGGAAGCCACAAAAAACGGGTTTCAATTTTTTTTTATTCTTAATATTGACTGTGTGCCTTCAATGAGTCACAACTTTGATTAAATTTGGTGGTCGTGTTTAAACCTTGGTAAACGGCCCGTGACCACGGAAAAGAGAGTGAGCGCGACTCAAACCGGACAGTTCTCGATCGGCAGTGTTTGGGCGGAAAGAAACCGAATTTCGAGTCGAAAATTCTGTTCTGAAGAGTTGGGCTCACATATGTCACGTACAACTAAATACCTCGGCGAGCATAAATACCCTGTCAGTGTCTCTTTAATTTATGTGCACCCACCTTTTCCAATCAACACACAAAAGCATGCCCAAATGTTCATCTTTACTTGTAGAAAGCTTTCTAAGGTGTACAAGAAAAAGACAATTACAAGCTTGAAGAACCTATGTTAGCATGTCACAGAAATCAATCACATTATTCGATTGGAACACTTTCTTTTTTATTGTTTCAAAATAAATTGTGCTATGGAAGACATCTCTTGTAGCACACTCTTCAACAAAAACCTGTTGTTATGTACATGTAAAGACGCATTGCAATCCACCACAGGAAAGAGTGAAGGGTGGGTAGAGCTGGTACACATGAGACATGGGGCTCATGCAACAATCAGATATGGCTTCAGCTGCAACCAACAATCTATGGTGACAGGTAAGCTGTTCATCTGCTGAACTCAATGTATAGTTTAATATAAACATTGCACTACTTGTGCAACATTAATGTTTGTAACTCTCTAAACAACAATTGTTCAGTAATTCCTGCCCCGAATGAGCTCATATATAGTAGGATAATGCATTAATTAAATCAAATATGTTTCAATGATCCCTAAGTTAGAGGGGAGAAAATGGGTCATGATAGTTATTCTTACTAGCTCGAGTTCACTAGAAGACCAGATAACAAAGTACAGCAGAGAAAATCAAACAATACCTTAGTTAACCCCACACATTCAGCTAGCATGACTAAAATTCCTTGCAGTTACCTCAATTCACAGTATGTAGCACATACAAAATACGAGACATTTTTTCTGTGTTTTCATAAATGAAAAGCGATGGAGTATTTCTATGACACTACACCCTCTTGTTTTATTCTTATTTTATATATGTCAAAATGCCAGTATTACTTATTCAGCATTCCAATTTTCCAGCTTGCTAAAATAGTATGACATGCAGTAAACAAACACTCAGGAATGAGGCACCACTCTGGCACTCTACCAAAAGTTGCGATAGCAAAGAGATCACTAACTTTGCCAAAAAAATAAAACGAGGCAATAGAAATTCTTTTTGCCTAATGTGAAGAACCAACTTGCCAAAGAAATGCAATACGCAGGAGATTTCAGAAATCACCTTGTCTGCCCTGTTATAATGAGAAAAAAAAAAAAAAAGTCAAATGGCATTTTTACTATACAGTACAGAAAGCGAGGCAATGCAAATGTTGCTCAGACGTCCCCGATTCACAGGCTCGTCGACAAGACACAGTAATCACATGTACAAGCACACAGTGACTAGAAAGGTCAATTCTTGCTATGGATACGAAACCAAGCTCACATTGTGAAAATAGCGCTATCAGTGCATTATTTGTCCAATGCCTCTCTGGAACCAAAGAAATCTTACAGAACTGCGAGCGACATAATAGAGAGACTCTTTGGTGCACATGAGCCCATGCAAGCCTGTCACACAAACACTCTGCCCGTTTATTTATAGAAATTTAGCTAGACAATGTTACCTCCCGGGGAAAAGAAAACAAGGCACAAGCTTGTTGGGTCCTTTCCTTTGATATGTGAACAGATGAGAGTTGGGCTTATCTGCGCGAGGGTTCATCAACGCTTGTTGGCCTCAAACAGCGTCGTCTCCTCTTCTTCGTCATCCAGGCGGTCCAGCGGTTGCATCTCCAGCTCTGCTGCCCTGGTGGCGATGATGCCGTACCGTCGGGTTTTGCTATGCCGGTAGCGGGACCTGTAAGCAGCACCCCGTGGCAGTCATACAATTATTCTTTTTTGAGACCTAAACCACATAAAAGGTAGTTACATCAAACTGAAGATTAAAACAATGAACTGGTATGTGGGACAGAATGAATTAAAGCGTACAAATGGGAAGAAAGTCATTAGATTGATCTCGCTAAGCGTTCCAAGCACGCATGGCGCAGCCATAACTTTGGACCGCAGGGGGCCAGTGGCAGTGCACGAATGCTCGTGCCGTCTTGTGCTCTGCTTGCGCAGACATGCAGCGAGGTTGTCACATGTGCAGGAAGGCTAAAGTTATCTCTATGCATCACAACAGCGGAGGCGTATCCGAACTGGCCGGTGAGATCAATCCGCTAGTTTTGGTGCCGATCATTTTCTTCTTTTTTTTTTTTAATATGCATAACAGAGAAGACTTTGCAATATAATAGAGAATAAATGAGTAGACAAGGGACGTGTGCTTACAATGTGGTCCAGAAGAAAAGATTACCTGATTACCCATACAAAGCTTAGATGCTTCGCTATATAAGCACATGAGAATGTTGCCTTTTTGGAAGACAACTTGACTGATTTTGTAAAGCGAGCAACGCTCCACGGGGCTTTTCATCAACAGCTAACATGACAAGGTTCAAGCCTGCTAGAAGACATGTGCGCAGAGTGCAGCGATAGCATTAACAACAAAGAGGACGCTGCATCTAATTTGCTCCTCATTAGAAGCAGAAGGAACACTGCACTTTTTGTCTAATGTCAGAAAGCATCTCTTTGAAGACTGTTAACGTTAGCTGGAGGTGCAAGGAAAAGCTGGTGCAATGTAATAGACCACAGATGTGCCAAGCATTTGGCACATGAGTGACGCTGCCATAACTTTTGCCCGTGTCGTGCTCCGTAAGCACAGACCCGCAATGGGGTTGTCGCACAGGCAGAAAGACAGAGTTCCCTCAATGCATTGCAAAACTGGCTGGCTGGGAAGATTGATCTATTCAGCCATATATTCATTAATTCCTAGAGTGAGGGCAGTGAATGTGCCAAGGGTGAAATCTAACTCTGTTTGTATAGAACAAAGGGTTGACACTGAAGATGTGCCAAACAGTGCTCTAATATTTAGTAATTCCACTTATGGTTCCGCCTTATGTTCATATTTTTTACACATTTTCAACCTCATTTTGTCTGTGAAGTGGTTGAATGGAGAGCAAAAATGTTTTTACAGAAGACCTTAATGGTTCAAATCAGCTATTCTACATTGCATCCACCCAATACCAAGAGAACAAGGAAAAACGGTTTCGAGACCTTAGAATGTTTTGTCTCTTTTCTGACTTTTTTACATTCTGAGGTCTTAAAGGGGGGGTGCAACGATTTCCGGACTTCGGTTAAAGATTTCTGGAAGTTGCCCTCTGACACTTCTGAAGTAAAGAACAGAAAACCGATTTCGCCTGCGTGTCCTAGTTGTTGCGTAAAAAAAAGATGAATATTGGCATTTCGGGCACCCCTCAACTCACTCCCAGCCTTCAGGGTCACACCCGGTCCCCCTCCTAGCGACATCATTCGGAGTGCCGTGTAGGTTCCCGTGTGCTATCTCGGAGGACTCTTCCTCTCCCTCTCTCTGCTGACATTAGTGGGCGTTATGCTGCAGCTTAGAGCCGAGCGAGGTCACGTAATCTTTTCGCCGTAGTTCCTTCGGCTGCCACTTGGGGCTGCAGGTGGGGGAAAAAGCTCGACTTCTGCTTTGCGATTATGCAGCGGAATCGCAACATTTTTAATGAAGAAGGTGTTTTCTCTATCCTCCGGGACACGATAAACAACGTAAAAATGATGAGATGCAAATTCTTTTTATCATAAAATCGTTGCACCGCCCCTTTAAGAATGTTGATTTTTCAGTTTTTTAAACATATCCCTCTTGTGCAGTCCTTAAGATATACTTACAGTGCAGCTGTAATCATCAATTGGCAACAACAGCTTGAGTTGTTTCCAAGACCAATACCAGAAGTTAAACATATATCTGCGAACGTCTGAAGCGCAGGTCCTTCCAGGCTTTTTCCATAAAGATCTGTCACATTGGCAGTTTCTATTCTCCCGGCAGCTAATAAAAGAACTTCCCAGAATGTCTCCAAGCAGTTGTCTCTAATTAGCAACATGAAACCACGTGACAACAGCCAGTAAAATACACATTCGAGTTTTTCGTTCAGTTGGTGCACTCGGTGCATACTCGGTGCTGTACAGGACCCCCGTTAAAGGGGTTAGGACACGAAAATTAAACAGGTAGATTATTCTTGAAATCGAACGACGCTCATAGGTTACTTAGTATATGCACCAGCGTTCCCTATTTTCAGAGGTCAAGTAATTGCAATAATCAATTCACAAATGTTGATCATTTTTGTCTGGCGACCCGGCACCAGGCAACTTGCGCAAGTTAGTCACACCATGATGCCCATAAACCATTTGGTCATCATATTTAAACACTCTCTCCTTTTAGGCGACCCCATGCTGGCCGAGCTCAGCTCGCCACGGTACGATCGTCCACTCTCACGCCACTCGGCTACTCCAATGTACACTCTTCCTCTGGTCCCCCGCCCTTTGATCTTCCACCCTGCATGCACATGCGCAATTGTCGGCGACGGCGAGTTCGTCCCCAATGATCTTGTCATCATAGCTGGCACTGGTTGCAAGCCGGTCGAAGTCACAATGACCAGCTTCTAATGTCTTTTAATAACATCACTCTCGTCACTGTTGCGATCAAGGTCGGAGACTCTAATGAAGTGAGTGATGACATTGACGTCACCGTCTCGGAACCGCGTACTCGAAACATGGAAGATAAACGTGGATGCTGAGGCGCGAGACGCCGAGAGAGCGAAGTCTCTGAGAGCGTGCTAGGGGATGCAGTGCGTTGGACAAGTGACGTCGCCGAGCCAACAAACGTGGCGGCATTTTCTAATGGGGCGGATCTGAAGGACTTGCACGTAAATCGATTCATTCATAAAACTATAACGCCACTTTCGAAACAAATTTAGCAGGGTCCTAGCAGTATAATTATCTCATTTTATCTTTGGCACGTCCTAACCCCTTTGTCTTTTGCCAGCTGTTGTAACCAGTTTAGTCAAAGTAGATGGGAAGGGTCATAATTGTGAAGCTGAGTACCACTTAGCCAACGACGGGCGGCATTGCAAAACCAACAACTCTTTTGCTAATGGTGCGGGTGCCAAGGTACAGCCCTGCCAACTGTGTGTCGCTGTGCGAGCACAATGTCGGGACCATCGCAATGGCAAAAATTCGTGCCACTTCGGTGCCTCGGGCATCCGGCACGCGATCCTCGCCGCACGAGGATCGCGTCCTGGATGCCGGGGGCGCTGAAGCAGGCACGTAGCCAGGGGGGAGGCCCATGGGGCCTCCCCTCTGGCTATGTGCCTGCTTCAGCTGGCTGGCCCTTCGACACCTATTTGCAGTCAATCTGCAGTTTGCAGAAAAGGGAAACAAGTAGTTTACTTGGAAGAAGCGAAAGTGTGCAGGCGAGTTGGTTGGGAAGCATCATAATCTACACCCCGAGACACGGAGGAAATAAAATAATGGACAAGACGACACGAGACGACAGCTCTCGCATGGTTCAAAGCAGCCAATGAGAGGCAACTGTCGGGAAACATTTGAGGAAGTTATTCTAGCGACTGCCTGGAGAACAGACAGATGTTTGTTAAGCTAGAAGGCGACACCGAGGTTACCACATTCACAAACATGTATTTAGACAGACGAATTAATCAAAATGCTGCCTACCTAAAATAAGCGTGTAATGTATTATGTAACTGATCAGTAAAAACTATGCGTGTCCCCCCTCCCCCCCTTTTTTTAAAAAAAAAAAAGGAAAAAAGAAACACAAGTAGAATTTGTTTTAAATACTCCACTCATCGCTGCTCAAGAACAAGTTGCGCATCATTTCGTCACTCTCGGGCTGGTTTGTTAAGCACGAGTTCGGAAGTGTTTACGCATAAAAATTACCGAAGCTTTTGTTACCCTACCTGGCCATTCTTACGACGAAGTAGACGAGGATGATGCTCATAACGCCCACTATCACGTAGAAAGAACGTAGCACGACGCCGTTCGCTTGCTTGTTGAAGATGAACGACGTATGCGTGGCACCGGTGCTGTTCTGCCTCGCGGTGAGGGAGTCGTCGTGCACGACATGCTTGACGTTGTCGGACACCGACGAACTTGTGGTTGGGGTGTCCTTTGGCGGCGACGTGCCGTGGGAAACGGATTTGTTTGAGGAAGCGACTTGTTTGTCAGACACAGACGCCGTCGCATACGCCGCGACGCACCACAGAAACAGCGCTAGCAGCCAAAGTTTCGACGGAATCATCTTGTGGGCTAGAGCGAACACATACCCGCAATCAGGAAACGATGAATCGCCGATGTTTAACCAACCTTCAGCGAAATACTCGAGAGGAAACCGAGTCGCTCACATATTTTTTCGCACCTCCAACACGCAAACTGGCAGCCTGGCAGTTTACCGGACGGTGGCGGCCTCTAGAATTGCATTTTGATACGCCAAACTTACTTGTTTCTATAAACTATACCAGTCTAAAGTACTAAAATAAAATAAAAACAATGTAAACTAAATTTTACAGTCTAGTTTGCATTTTCGATCGTATTATATTTGAGAAAATTTGTATAAACCTTTGAAAATGCCGTTAAAAAAGGCGCTACAATTAATAGCTTGTTTGTGGCGCCATCTGCAAGGATAATGCGGGCACAAATCACGTGCAGCAGCGCCACGCCTTACCTTGGATGCGAACCCCGAATGCGACTCGGGAAGTCAGCGAAGTGAGCTGTAGGTGTTTTGATTGTGGTTTCATTATTATTCGCGTCACACCGAAATTTCAGCCTCGCAAGGTCACTTCCCGGGTGCGCAAAACCCAAATTTCGTAATAGTGCATTTGAGCTGGTCCCTGAGCCGTCCGCTTCAATTCGTGCGTCCCGAAAACCTGGACATCTATGCCGGCAACTCCACTCCGATGGACCACTCGGCCAGTGTGGCATTACGTCAGCACGAGTGATGTGCTTGGTGCGTGACCACAGACACAGTGACCACGGACGGTTTGCGTCCAATAACTTCCGTAAGAAACAGGGCTCCACATCTGCTGTGCCGGCTTCCCCCCTTTTCCACCAAGAGCGGCGTTGCAGCAGCGGAAGCTACCCAGTCCACGTAATATCTGAAGGGCAACCTCTGGTGAGTCTGCTTTCATTCATGCGATACGCCGAGCGATTATCTGATTCGGTCGCGCTTTTGTGCAAACTCTCGGTGCCGCACGCAGCGTCGGTGTTACAGTACGCTGTGTGCCGGAGGATCCTAGGCGCTTTAACTCGCGTGCGTGTTTTCCTACGGGTCATGTGGCTTGTCGAGGAACGCTGCTGAGAGTCGGAAATGTTTTATTTCTTTGCTAATTATTGCCTGTACACGTAATAATCTTAACTAATCTAACTCTATGCTATTAGTGGGTGCAAAGGAAATGTCTGGTTGATTTTTAAAGCTATCTGGGGCAGTTTGATGCCCGTTGGATTCGTATGAGTTGCGATCTGTAGGGACTGGTAAATGCCGTTCTTCGGTGTCCTTACATCCCTCTGCGTTAGCCAGTAGAAATTTTGACAATTATTCAGTTGTTTAAATTGACTTGCAAAATGACTGTCGGTCAGGGTGACCTGAGCCAACTATCTTTTTTAGTCTCGTAAGGGTGACCTAAGCAAGCGAAGAGCTGAATAATCCCGCAAACGCGCTAATTCATTTGAAAAAAGAGAATGAAAAAGGAAACGGAGTAAAATATTCAAAGCAAAATGTACAAGTTTGGGTAGTCCTTTTCCCCCACACACAAGCATCATAGTGTAGCAACTGTAGAGAAGCTTGTTCAACAATAGGCATGCACACACGCGCACACACACGAATATATAGTCTAGTTGATTAAAATCAGCTTAAAAAAACACGACAGGACAGAGTTGAACTCGCAATCTGAATTCGTCCCGGTATTTTGAAGTTGATTTTCATCAACCATGGTTCATTATAACCAACTGGCCCAGTTTACATCTTCGTTGCATTCGGTTTAGTCTTCAGGACAGAGCACGGCACTGCCAGGCCAGCATGCCAATCTCCGATTTTTTTGTTTTTCTTATAGCCCCCCCCCCCCCTCCATCCTTTTTTTTTTTGCCTTTACACACACACACACACACACACACACATATATATATATATATTTTTTTTTTTTACTTTTGGTAGCAACGATTGATGTTGTGCCGTGCATTTGAGTCTAACATACTCTCCTTACAAAGACACACAAGACGCTCATTGGGTTCATCAGGTGCACAGAAATCAAGCTAAATTAAAATCTAGATCGATCTTGAGACATCAAGACTGAAGTAGAAGTAAGTTAAACCAGTATCATCGTTACTATCTGTAGTTACCATCATGTTCAATACATGTGCAACAGCTCCCCTGCATTCTAGCCTCTAGGCACTTTGTTTAGGTAGATATCCTGATCAGATGTCCTGAGTACCACCAGTCAAGACATCACCTGGAAACCCCTCGCAAGCTTCTTTCGACCTCTGCCTCTTTTGCCGGTTTATTATTTTTTTTTTCGACGGGAGGGGTTGCAAGCAAGCAGCTGGTTAGGAAGCGACAGACTCCGCGTTGTTGTGACAATATTAAAATTCACAAATATGTTATTTTCTTTCGTTTTTTTTTTTTTTTACGGGGGTGATTATTTTAATATGTTGGGAGTGCTGCAGACGCGGAACGCCTCGTCAAAGACAGACCGTATTCTGCCACTGCATAGTTGTGAAGCGTGAGATCTGGAAGATAAGTATAGGGCGGGGCAGGTGGTGTTTGGGATGGTCTGTGTGTTTGACGAGTGGCCGTGAACGTGATTGTCCCGCTCAGAGCTTGAAAACCTCCCAATCCTCTTCGAAGGACATCACTGCCCGATTATGGTGTCCAGACGCTTGAAGTGGGGAGAGCAGTATCTGGGCTTTGGAATGCCCGTCCTTGAGGGAAACCTTGAACGCTCTCTGCTGAAGTGAAAAGAGCTGGGAGGAGGTTCCATTTTGTTCTTGACCCGTGTCACCGACATGGAGTCGCAAGTGGTTGGGTGAAGTCTGGTTCCGATCTCTTGTCTCGAAACGTTCATTTGTGGAGTTTGCCACCCCTGTTCATCAGTGACCATCCGCTGCATCGGCCTTTCGGGTCCAGGCAATCACAGAGCACCAACAAATGTAAGGAACCATCACCTTTTAAAACTAGAGCGCCTTTGTGAAAAAAGAAATCGCACGAAATTTTGAATTCCGTGAGCAACGTGTTATTTTTATGTTTTTGATGGGTCGCTTGGTAGGAGTTTGGGAAGCACTCTACTGAGTCGGGAAACTTATCCGTCTCATGTTCTTTCACAATATTGATTTAAAAAAAAATTTTTAAACAAGGGTAAATATATTAAAACTCCTTCCTTCAGATCCGGTAGAGACGGCCATGATATAATAAATAGATATCCCTTTTAAAAATAACTCTGCGAAGCCTTCTTTTTTTTTTTTTTTTTTGTAGATTCTGCGCGTCGTTGGAGTTCGCCGTCACGCACTGTCACCATCACAATGAATGACGCCTTTGTATTTATATTTCACGCGCTCATACGCAATCTTGTTTGTGCTGGTGGGTGTGCTTTTGTAACGTCCCCCACCCCCCCTTTACTGTAATGCCGGATGGCGAAGTATTGCTCTCTAAATAAAGATAAAGTGCAGAGACTGGCGAATAAGACCACTCTTGTTTAGGTGCGGTGGGAGCGCAATGCATGCTCTTTGCTCTGTCATGCAGATAAAGGAACCAGTATACGGAGCTGGTGTGACGTGACTTTTTGGTTAGTTGGAGCTATGTTTACCATCAGATAGTCCGTACTCTTCACAACGCGAATATTACGTCAGAAATCCCGGCAGCACTTTCGTATACAAACACAGCGTAGTATTAAAGAAATGTGTATGTCGTCTTCCCCCTCCCCCTCCACACAAACACACGCGCACACGCACACACACACACACACACGTTTGTTCCCCCTTCGGCCTAGGGTTTTCAATATGTTGAAAGTTCACAAGCTCGCCTGCGTGTTCACCGCTAATTTCTTAGCCTGCGCTGAGCCGCTCACTACGAGTTTATTTTATTCCCATGCTTCGAGGGGATCCCGTTGCGTCACACATAGTTCGCAGATTCCGCTTTTGCACCGTTCGACCCCTTTGCCTTCCCGCAAAATACGTCAAAGCACAAACATGCGCATCTCTGGGCTTTGCCTCATTGCGTACTTCATTTATTAGCCCAGTTCCCTGGCTGGTATGTAGATGGCGGCAGCAGGCGTGACGCGCGCTGTGACGAGCCTTCTTTCTATTTCTGTTCCTCTCGTTGTTTTCTGCCCTTTCTTCCTCCATCGTAGAGAGCCTAGATGGAGCAGAGGGAGCAACTGAAGCCACGAATGGCGTTTGTAATTCAATGGCGGACGCCTCCTGGGCCCATTGCTCGCAAGTGCGCACGCGCTGCCTGGTCGAGTGATGAGGAGAAAAGCGGGCGGAAAGGCTGAGACGCTCCACCTCGCCGCTGGTACTGGAGACGCGGCCCGTAAACCACTCGACCCTGAGCGCGTAGTTGCAAGCTCTCTGAAATGTAGACTCTCTCCTCCCCGGGCGCTTCCCCGTGCTCCGCCGCTTGTGCATTCTGATCAGTGACCCATTGTTTCTCATCTAAACAAGAGGACTGCGTGGCCGTTGGTTGGGGCACGCGTGTGTCGGAAACGACCTTCGTTCTTGCGTCTCCGTGCGCGCGTGGCGTGTACGCTGCACGTGTCTGCCTGCCTCTCTTTGTTCTAGGCAGCGTACGTATGTGTATCGCCACGGTCCTTAGATTGCCCGGTCTGGAACCTTCTCGTCACGCTATAGGAAAGCTCGCCCTAGAAACAGTTTGAAGCCTTGCAGGGGTCCGCTGCCGACGTAAGGAGTCAACCACCCAGACCGGAATCCAACAGATGGACGTGGACCCGCGGACCCGTCGAAACGATGGACGATTGGAAATGCCATCTATGCTAGAGCTGTCGGATTGTTTTGAAATAAATGAAACTCCACGTAGAGCGTGTACATGTGCTTAAAAACAATTGCCAGAGTTTTTAGTTTTTTATCTTCTATTTCATTTCCTTTTGTTCCCGCATGAATCAGCGCCGCTTGTGGTGACAAACTTTACTATGGCGAAAACCGCCCAAACTTCCAGACCATCAACGTGCAAGGACCGTGGTACGGCCCATTGCACGTTGATGCTAATTTTCTGGTTACCTGCGGTCGTGTTCTTCGACGGCACTTTCTGATAAATGACAGCTGGTCATTATTCGTGTCGTCAGTGCGGGTCACGTGATTGACGTTTGCTTTACGCGATCTTAAAATATGATTACGCGAACGTGATGCTAGATTGTGATCACGCTTGCGCGACCTTAAAATGTGATCACGGTTACGCGGCCTTAGAATGTAA